ATTCTTGCTACATGATAGCTACACCCCTGGTTCGGCATATAGCCGGCGGCCACGTGAGTCCGACATACTATCGCTCTCGCACACGTACAAAGAGAGAGAGGCGTCACTTGCCCCGAGTTAAAGTATGTACTCGCATTTACGCGTTCTCCCGGCACCGGCCACGTGCACACGCGTAAACGACAATAGTTTACGCACACATAAACTATGCAAATGATCTTTCTAGATTTATGTAGATAACGCGCGATCTATGTAGACATCAGCTATAATGGCTGTAATTACTCGTGTTTCCTCATGTACGTAAAAAGTGATTGTTCAAAATGAAATACACCGTTATTAAAAGCTGTTGAAATAAAAAAAAAAAAAACAAACACGAGAGAATATCTCTCTCTCTCCCTTTCTCTCGTAAAAAAAAAAACTAAATTTAGGAATAATTTGTCTGGACATTTATATCTCCCATTTTATTGGATCATCGTATCAATATCGCGAATTGTTGCGATGCTTAATACATTGAATGGATTATTTAGCATTGAAAACACGCGATAAAAATACGAATCCGTAATTCGTATTTTTCCAGCGCATTTCATGCTAAATTAAAAATCCAATTTTCATTTCGCGTTTACATCAATTGCATTCGGTCGTGCTTTTGGCGAAATAAATTTGCATTCCACGTTAAGTGCACAATATCATTGCCAGAGATTCTCGAGTTCGAGAGACACCACATTTATACGCATACAAAATTCGCGGATAGAAAACTATTAACGTCGTTACTATACAAATACAAAGTGGAAGCGAAAATATTCTTTATTAAAGGCACAAAGAAAATACTGGAAATGTTTCAGCGGGATTTATTGCGTCACTCACGTTTTAATCGCGTCTCCGTTCGCGTCTTCGATCGAGCTCGCCAGCGCGCATGGCGGCACGATGAGCTCGACAACAAACGAGCTTTAAGAGGAAACCATGGCTCGCCCGGCGGTGTTCGTGTCGGGTGTGGGTGGTAAAACCGTCAGGTCGCGAAGGGTCACAGAGCAATGGAATCGCAAACGAGCGATGAGAAAGAGAGAAAGGGGAGGGAGGGAGGGAAGGGGGAGGAGAGAGAGAGAGAGACAGACAGAGAACGCAATAGGAATACAAAGAACGAACGAAACGCAGGGACGGAGAGAAAGAAGGAAGAGAGAGAAACAGTAATTTTTTCCTGCGCTCGATTCTTCGTCTTTTATTTCCCACGAATGACAGCGTTTTATTTGCGACGTACGACATAAGCTAACGATGATGCATGCGCGAGAGACAAACGAGCGCGATAAAGACCCCGATAAGCGAAACGTCAAAATATCGCTGATGAAGAAATGAGCAAATAATCCAAATAGCCGTCGTCGCATTATCGTTGCATAATGTAAGCCTTCGGTCTAAAATCTAATGTCTGACAATAAGAATTAGGAAAGCTTTCCGAAGGAAGCATACCTATTCGGAGCGACGGAATTCTTCCGTGGCATTATCATTCGCATTCAAAGTTCTCCACGTGCGTAGATTTCACGTTATCGCGACTAATTTGGCGGATAATGGAGACGGAGAGAGAAAGTTCCTTGCCTGCCTCGTAGGAAGGGAGAATCAAGGGAGAATGAGATAACGCGCGGAGACGGAAGAGAGAAACTGCGGTACAGAGCGGAGAAGTATCGTTTACCCGCATGGACCTTTCCGTTTCCCTATTTTGCTTAAATGACGACGTCTTCTCATCTCACGGTGCACTCTCACCGCGGCGCTGATACCGCCCCGCGAGTTCTCCGCCCTCGAGATATTAACGATGCCGAGAGATCGACGTCGACGTCAAGACGAGGAAGCGGCGGCGATGGCGGCAACGGCGGTATAGATGTGGGTATATATCGCAAGCCCCTCCCCCCCCGGATAGTGGCTTCAAACGAAAACTCTGCCGCGTCCAACGAGTTTCTATCGAGCGTAGAAGGTAAAAGCACCACGCGGGGTTGCGGAGAAAGGGAGAGAAAGCGGGAGAGAGATGCGGATAAAGGTAGAACGTGAAAGAGAAGGCGAATGAAGCTTCGAATGAAATGGAACGTAGTGTGGGTCGACCAGCGCAAACGAGAGAGAGATAGTCAAAAGAAAGAGCGAAAAGAAGGGGCGAGGCGGGGGAGGGCGAAGAGCAGGGAGCGAAGAGAGCGTGATAGCGCGAAAACAGAGCAAGAAAGAGGGACACAGGCTCCTCATAGCGCGCGATGCTGCTGCTGCTGCTGCTGCTGCTGCTGCTGCAGAATGAGGCAGGGACGAGGGAAACGAGGAACACGAGAGGGGTGGGGAAACTGCCGCAGACCTCGGTCTGCCCGTGGTAGGCGAGGTGAGGTGGCAATCAATAAATATACAGAACCGGCGAAGAGCGAGAGAGACGGAGGGTGGCCGAGCGACCGAGCGAGCGAGTAAGCGAGCGAACGAACGAGCGGCGACCGACCGAGAGCGAGAGAACGATGGTAAAGAGAGAGGAGCGCTTCGCCGGTTGCGTCCGTCCAACCGTTCGTTCGTTCGTTCGTTCTTGCGTCCCCAAAGCCCTACGGACCTAAACCTGGATGTGAGGAAGGAGAAAAAGCGGTGCGCGGCGGAGGATCGAGCGAGATGGCGCGGGCGAAAAAAGTCACCGGAGAAGACGGAGACGGATGACGGACAGCGATGGACAGGAAACTCGGGTACGAAGGAAGGGAGAGGAGACAAAGACAGAAACGCAGCGAAAGAGAGAGAGAGAGAGAGAGAGAGAGAGAGAGAGGAGGACGGCGAGAGAGAGAGAGAGAGAGAGAGAGAGAGAAAGGGAGAGAGAGAGAGAGGAGGGCGGCTCGATGGAGGTCCAGGAAATACGAGGAGGGACGGCGGGGTTGAAGGTGAAGCGACGAAATAAACGACGAGGTCCCGTCTTCGTCGAGAGCGATGGAGGTTCTGCTCAAGATGAGAGGATGAGAGAGACTTTCGGGATGTAATCGAGATGGGCCGAGAAATGAGGAGCACAGAATGCATCCCCGGCTGCATTAAGAGCCGATTGTTCCACCCTCGTGTAAAAAAACGTGATTTATCTAACAAAAAAATACATGTATGCACCTTGTAGACTATAACTCTTATAGATTAGTTTAGATTTATCTACTGAAAAAAATCAATTCTTCAACTCTTAACACGTGACATTATTATCATTTTTTCGTCGAAGATTTGTATTTTTCATATTAAAAGCGGTAGAAGTCGCAAAATTAATTGTGAGACAATTTTAAATTGGACTCAAAGTAACTCAAAACAACATAAATTGAAATATAATATCCAATTAGAACTATTAAAAAAAAAAAAAATAGCCTTCGTTACGGAAATTCGTCGATTAAACAATCTTTTAAACCGAATCATCGAGATCTCAATTTGTCAACCGATTCCATTTCTTATTCTCGAATACGAGTCTCACCTGGCGATGTGTAAAAAAGTTGAGGGGTAACGTATCTAAAACCAGCACTGGGAACCAGTCTAGAAAAGGAGCGCGAGTCCTATCCTTTGTCGCGAGGAAGCGGCCGAGGATCGACGGAAGGAGCCTCGATAACCTTGGAAGGAGAGAAAGGCCGGGGCACGATGTGCGCGCGCGGGACTAATTGATTTCGGGACGAAGCGAGGAGGGAGAGGAGGAGGCCCTTCCCTCGTTAAGGCGGCACTGATATATATCGCATTGACGCGCGAGAGTGTATTGGGGTCCGCTTTTGCATCACTTGTCCGGCTTTCAAACGACCCTGTAAATCCACGGCAAGTGCAGCAACGACGTCGTAACGGTATGCGTAGAGAAAATAACCCGAGACCGTGAAATATGCCTTACTCGGAACAATCTCCCCCGATTTCATTGGTGAGAGATTATTTACACGATAAGCCTTATCATGTCGATTGATTATCCCATTATTGACTGAGAAAACAAAATGTATCTAAACCAAATAGATACGAGAAATAGTTGTGAGTTCGATCGGTGATTTGTTCATAAAAGGGAGCAAGAAAGAATCGAGGCAAAAAGAAAATAAATAATTCTTTTTGTATTGATTGACCCGTAGGTTATCGCACAAATACGTCTGCAAATAATGAATAGCATAAAAGAACGCGCATGTTTTTACGGGAAAAAAAACTCGCCAATTTCTTCACTTTTTAAATTCGCTGTTGCATCGGAGTCCTCCAATTTGTCAGCTTATGTACTCACGGCCCGATCATGCGAGATCGTCGCCCGTCGCGGAAACGTGCTTCGGCGACCGAAATCGGAATCGCCAGGAGCAAACTTCCTCCTGGACAAGCACCATAACTCACGCCGACAAATATGCCGTCGGAACTCGGTTACCCCCTTGAAATACCGTGCACGCGCATCTACAAACCGCCCGCGCGTTACACGGGAAATATTTGTTTTGTCTAAACAATATCGCGTACGATCACGCGGATCAAATAAAATGGAGCGCTTCCGACCGGCTGTCGGGTAAATTAGAAAAACAAAGGGAGAGGGCTATCATCGGGCTCGGGAACGAGGCGGAAGGACTTGTTACACAGGATACAAACGAGATCATTAGTTAATGAACAAACGCCATTGTTCCGTCGCGGGTACAAAAATCACTCGTATTGTCTGTCTATCCGTCCGCGTGCGAGTTTGCTCCTTCCGAATCTGTATCTCCGACTCCGACGCTATTTCCGACGATCTTGCCG